CCCCCCCCCCCCCCCCTCCCCCATCCCCTCCGTTTCCCAGCCCCAGCTCCGGAGAATTGGTGACCTATGACAACCACCGGAAGAACTTGCAACTGCTAGAATCCCGTGAGCCGAGGTGGGCGGCGCAGCGTTAAAACTATCTCGCCAGGCGAGCACTCTGGCAGAACGACGGTGAGGTGTGTGGGCAGCACATGTTTGAGACTAGCGGTGATTCACACGTTTGCGTTGTGCGACCACAGCCTCGTGTCCAAGATGGATTCCCACAACAGTGTATCGCAACAGCACCGTGCAACTGGATGGAGGATGCGCTGTGGCCTTGGGACATGCCAAAATCGGCCAAGAGGAAAGGGTCTTCGCATGGGAGCACATTTGTGTCTCTTTTTCAGATCAAGAACAAAATTCGCTATGTTGTTGACATTTTCATTGCAGCCGAAGCTGGCGAGGTCTACGATGCATGGCGTCAGGCTATGCTTGAAAGCTGCGTCATGAAAACAATACTCACCTCCAGCGTAAGTCTCGACACCGAGCGGGAGCTTGAGCAGCGATGCAGCACTCACCCGCGCGCGCATCGCGACAACAGACCAGCACGTGCGGCCGCCTCGGTTTTGCGTGGAAGGACTGGCGCACGAAGCTCACGAGATTGCGGCGGGCTGCGTAGATACCGTGATATACCGTGATGCATCTCAGCAATTCGCAGCAGTCATCGTAGTTGCGATCCAAAGGTCACGGAACTTGAAAAGTCTTACCCGTCGGGGCACCGGCCAAGTAGTTTCTGAAGTGGCGCCGGCTTGTGCCAGTGTTCGAAGCTTTATGGCTGGCTCCCCGAGTTTTTTTGGAATTCTCCTGTCATATGCACTCAAACGAGCATCCCAGTTTGAATGCTGAGTTAGCCCATCTTGTGCTTGCAGGGTAGCGGAGAGCAGGTGGCTCGCGCAAAGCGAACTAGAATACTGTCGTATGAAACGGCTCAGCATGGCTCGGCTCAGGATGATTAAAGTGATTAAAGGTGTAGAATACCACTTTGTGCCGGAGCCAACAAGGAAGACACGCACAGCGCAACGCATCAATAGCCTCATAGGGCCTTACGATTGAAAGCGGGGCGGCGTGCGTTACCGAGCACGGAACGTACCATCGATTCAACATGAGCGACCGCAACGGTCGGAGGCTCGAGGGCGAATGTGTTTGAGGGCTCCCGCAGACTGTGATGGCAAATGCAGGATGAGGCACCGTGCTGCAAGGAGTCGCCCAAGGTTGCCGTAAGTGTTAAGGCACACGCGAGCCGCTAGACTGCGTTCTTCCACCAAATCAAGACACCAAAAGTCCAAGCCTCTGCACTGTACACGTCCAGGACGGCCTGCTTTTTGGAAGTTTATTTCTCAGAGTGCTTTCGGACTGTATGTAGTGTCCTACGCGCATTTTTGGGTGCGGAGGAATCCAACCAACGGCGTCCGGTAGATGCGATTGCCTTCAAGTCTAGCTTAGTGCCTGTCAGCATCCGTTTCCTGCGCTGAGATCTCCTGGCCGCGGAGTGCTGCACCTGGTTGCGATGCATCGGCGAGCCGCAGCGCACGACTTGGGCTAAGGATGACAGCTCGCGTCGAGAGTTTCCATTGACTACCGACCGGCTCGCAACCCCATGCAAGGGTCATTTTCTTCGGCTGCGCAAGCGGAATGGATGGTTGCTTGCAGTTGTAATGGGAGTGGTGGTTGCGGGGCTGTCCCGTCCTGCAAGACCATGCATTGCCACAACAGCCATGAGTCAGAACCATGCAAAGTCTAGAAGTCTACGAGTTCTCCGGCGGAGAAGCTTTAGGCCTTAGGCTAACACATACTTTTTCGTGACAAGAACATGAACATCGATACACCATGATACACCCCACCCGCACGCACACAGACAGGAAGCGAAAAGGTAATGTATTGTCTCGCAGGGAAGTGCACACAAGGAAGTCATGAATTACGCACAACCTAGGGAAAGACACACAGACACGTGCGTGTATGTGAATAAGAATATTTGCACGCCTATGCCTGCGCACACTATGTATGCACAAACGGAAGGAAAAACGCAAAGACAGTAAATGGCCGAAGCCGCCAGGCGGTTCCCTCCTTGTCTTCAGAACCGCGCTGTCAACGTCCTAAATCTTTATACCTCGAAGTCGTGAATCTGAAACATGACCTCTGAACACACATCCTGTCTAGGAGTCGTCAGCTTTGTTGACCTTAATGCCGTTCGACTTTGGAACCTTTTTTAATGTAGTACCACTGCAGACTGTTACGACTTATGGTGCGAATGTGCTCAGACGTGTTCTACATTCGGCAGTGCCATGTGCGTAGATCGTTATGCATAGCCAAACGGCGAAAACACGTAAACGTACTATTGGCATCGTTCTATATGTAGCTACAGCTTAAAGCTTTCTAGCAGGCGAACTGCGGGATTCGCTTTTTCAAGTTGGTATGAACTAGAAATCACCACAAAAGCAGTGGCATCTGTTGCATAGCGACAAGTGTCGAGGGATACATCTAGCGACAGAGCGGCAGAGCGGAAACACTGTGCAAACATAACACAGGCACGCCGCTGAAGGCAGCAACCACACTTGTCATTGTTGAACTTGAAGGGGAGATTCTGCCCAGCCGCTGGCCTTGGAACTAAGAACTGATTTCCAGAAGCATCATGGTTGCGATCGTTTCAACAATGGGCTCCCTCGAAAACCAAGATCGAGTAACACAAGTTCCTTCCGTAGACCCTGGCAACAAACGATGCAAGGCCACCTGCTGCGCCCTGTGCAAGACCATGGCGGACTGGAGCTTGGGCATGGTCACGCCATACCACAAAGTCTGATGACCTCGGCGATACTCGTAAGCTGCTAACATGCTCGCTACCCTCGCGGACCACCCCTTTAAGATCCTGACAGCGCTGTCATGGCTGGGAAATGCTGCCGTGTACTCTGGGCTTTTTACCAGGTGCTTCTCATGCAAAGGATGCAAATGACCGTTTGCAGACTCGCTTTGACATGAATTCATGACTGACTGGCCTACAGGCCGCTCGGCCCATGCAACATGCTGCTGAGCCTGTCTGTGCAAAAGCACGTACAACACCAACCGCACTGCCTGGCAAAGCTGCATGAATCATTGCATCAATTGCATGGAGAGCTGCCCTAGAGTTTCGAGTTTCGCGGATCCAGCGCTCATCCCTCTGCACTGATTTCGATTCCAAGCCCGTAAAATCTCAGAACCGGCCCCTTCGGTGTCGACACTGGGCATCTAAGTCTGCCTCTTTTTGTTATGCATCCATCCGTGTCTCTTCGGAGCTGGCATGCACTTCCAACCACAAATTATGAGGAAGTCACGTTACCACCTGATGTAAAGCATGCCAGGGCTGTGAGACTGTGAGACAGTCACGAGGGACGCAAAGCTAACTGCTAGCTTAAGACGAAGTCGAACCAGCAGACAACTGCTAATCTTTTTGCATGGCTGTTCCTTCTTTGTGTTTAGCATCACGCTTTCAACAAGACAGAATCCACTTAGCGTGCAGTCAGCACAGCCAGTGGTCGAATCCAGACAGTGTCAGCTCGTCCAAGAAGAACTATCCGGCCTGTCCAGCGAAAGCTGTGATGGAATCGACCCTGTCGCTGTCTCTGCAAACGAAGCCTTCTCCTCCTCATCCTCTTCGGACGGAATTTCTGGCGCGATGCAAAAGAATGCACCCTTGCTTCTTCATAGGCATGGAAAGCCCTGGCCATCAGGTGGATCGAGGCCAATCCATCGTCGAGTCTCCTTCCAGGTGTCATAGGTGACCTTGGCATTCCCCATCACTCACCGCTACACTTCGACAAAGAGTGCAAGGTGCGCTGAGTGCCATGCAGAGATTCCGGCGCCTGGCTTAGCAACTGGAGCTTAGAACTGGCACGGACTTCCATTCACGGCCGGCCTTCGAAACATCTAGTGAATTGGCACATGGAAGAGAGACCTCGAGTTACTGATTGAACAACCAACCGGAAGCATTGTTGAACAAGACTCTGCGAGCCGAAAACTGCAACATCTGTTTGCCAAAAAGCGGCACGAAATGCAAGGAGTATGGCTGGCGAAGACCCGCATCTGGCCAGTCACCTAAGAAACGAGAGAAGCCGGAAAGAAACCACGGGATCCTAGGTCCTAGACTGCTGCTGCCCATGGAATTCGCACGTCACGCTGGGATGACAGGCTCCTTTCTTCACACCTTCACTCACGGGATCGATCGGAGCAGCCTGCTTGCAAACTCTGCCATGGTCACGTCACGTCACGTCGCACTCAAGAATGTCGGAACTCTTCTTGCCAACTTGTTCACTGCCGACTTGTCTGCAAATCCAGCCTGGAGTAAAACCAGCAAAGCCTGTCAGTCGTCTGACCAAGCTGACATTCAGCAATTGGAACAAGCTCTCCGGAACACACAAACGGAGCCAAAGCATACGCTGTGGCAATGGGATCGAAGGGCCTCTACACAAGATTCAGAGAGTCTGTAGCCTTTACGGGAATCTCAGAAAATATCAGACCTTGATACGACCTATAAACAACCCTAATTGGGATCATGACTGGCACGCAACGGTGCCTGCCGCTCGGCATGCGAAGAGCGATCGTGATCCACGAACACCTGGCAAGGGTTTATGTTTTGAGTTTAAGATTCATGGTTGACGTCTTAAGGGGGCTGGAGTTTAGGGGTCAGGACTCAATCTGAACACAGTTCGAGCGCGGTCCTTGTGATGTTTGTTGATCCAGGCTTCAGAATCTTTCGATCTCGTGCCCGAAACAGCGCATACAGCACCGCAACGCTTTAATGCGGAAGAGAACTGGCGCACTGACACAAACTTGTTCCAGTGGTGGAGAAGCTGTGATTGACAATTCTGGCTTGGGCCGTAGTCATGTCCTCCACAAGTAGCCTGTTGGACCATGCGACTGCGAGAGTGCATTGCACAGAAATTGCATAAGTGGTCCTTACCATTGCTCCGTTGCGCTGCCTCCGCTCCGATCCAATCTTTTTCGGCTGCCCCTTGGTTCACCCCCGTGCCTGCAGCTCACAAAGCTAGAAGTTCTCCACGTTCTAGTGGCTGCGTCGTATTGCCATACTGCAGAGACTCCCTGCTGCTTACCGCCCTTGCACTGTGCGACAGCGAGCGATGTAGCTCCAGCGAAAGACAAAGGAAGAGCCTCGATGCCTAGAGTGCCCGTTACCCTCGACAGAAATCGGGACGTGGCCTGACACGAGTGGTATTGTGTCGTTTAGAGCCAGATGCTGGACCCTCCACGTGCTTCCGGATCCATGGAAGAGGGCTAGCAAAGAAGGCAACAGACGGACAGCAGCATGTCGTCATCCAGCGCATGGGGACCCAGAAAATGACCAGACCTTGCCTCCGAATTGTCTGACCCGAGCCCAAAGCAGAGTGCTGGGCAAGAGTTCCCTGGACTCCCGAAAGGGCCGGCCCAAAACATGGCTTAGTCACTAGCTTGTTAAGGTGCACACTGCGTGCTGACACAGCCAAGAGAGCCGCTGCCCCGTATAAGGTAGTCGTCAAGAACAAACAAGGCAGCGAAGCAGGAAGAATCCAGATGTTTTGTCTGGCATCACCATGTCCCACCTTAGCATTCAACCCTCTGTCCTGCCACCTGTCCTGCAACGTCTGAGCATGTATGAGCACAACATACTGAGACTTGTGGTAAGAGCTGCAGCAAGAGTGTCTGCATGTACTTACGAACGCTTCTTGCAGCTGCGCGACGGCTCGAGAAGTAACCTGAACCATCTCCTCAAAGCAGACTACATAGCATATCTCATAATATCTCGGTCAAGTATCGAGGCCGCTCATGCTGCTAGTATCGGCTAATCCACATGGACAGGTGAAATACTGCTCGACAGGCATGCAAACCGCAACACCTCATCCCCTACTTTCGCTCCTGGCCAGCGTCAGACTTCACGAAACCCTGGCTGAAAGCCACAAGATCCTGCCAGAGACGAAAGACAGTGCTGGCGATGTGTATCCCCGTACCACGGGCCAAGAACCCGTCCACCGGTCCTTGGCTTGTGGATCCTCACCCGGGTCGACGTCCGCAAGGTTGAGCTCCCTGCGAGCCTTCCAACATTGCCGATCCGATCTCGTGACAGCCAAGCCCATCTCATCAAATCTCCATCGGTGGAAGCTCGGGAAGGACTGGGTTTAGCTCATTTCCTGTCCGCCTGGTATCGGGCAAGAGGAAGCCAAACTCCGTTGTCGCCTCCCGGCTGCGGGTGCATGCTGCAACATGCGTGTCATAACCTTGCGTTCCTTTGCCCTGTCATCCCAGTTCTTCCTTAGGCCAGCCTCTACTCAAAGCATCCAAGGCCACGCCAGTGAAAGCCTGCATTGCCGGCAACTGCCTTTGATGCTGGATCTGGAGCGGAGCAACCATAGCCGGCTCGACGAAACCCAGGGTGAACTGCTTCTCAAGGGCCTGACACTGAAAGCACCATCGTAAAGCCCCGCGCCTGCAGCGCCGACTTCCGTAAAGCTCCGAGCTCCCGGCTGCATCGTGTACTCTACTCGGGCGTGACAGCTTACGGCCGGTCTTCATGTCTATTTTGAAATCCTGGCAACATGTTGAAGAGAATGTGAATTCAAGTGCACAGAATTGGCACTATATAAAAAAACCTGCAAGGCTCGCATCTGCGCTATCTTTGCGATTCGTCAACCGCTTCAGCCTGCAGCATTAGGCTTACCCGGGAGCACTTGAGCATTCTTTCCTGCTATTCGTGTTGTGAGGACGATCAACAACCAGCCTGGGAAGCACGGGAACGTAGACGCACCTGCTCAACAAGTCTGCCCGACTGTCTGAATCTGTTCGGGCTGGAGGACAAAGACAAGAAAGAAAAAGAGCAAATCAGAAGGCAACAATTGAGGCAGGTGCTTTCGAAATGCGTTCCTTGGCAGAGGACTCCAGCTGGAATCGCAAGTCGGCTCAAGCTACTGCCTTCTGCTTTCGTCAGGCGGTCACTGACAGCGAATAATATGCCGAAGGGCTCCAGGGTCCCACCCAGCTTCCCATGCCAATGGAGCAGCTCAACTGCAACGACCTGACACGAGCGAACGAGACGGAGACTTGGTGCCTTGGAGGGCTCGCCGGGCTCTCTTTGCTGTTCGACACCTCTGCATGCGGGAATTAGGGTACGGACACACGGCAATTAGTCGGTGGTGACTGTTCTTGCAAGCCGCACCATCAGTGGTAGTTTACTGTTGGGGGGGCCACACCTGTGGTGGTTCCTGTGAAGTGTCACGGAAGCTCGTTCTTCCCAAGTTTCTTGAGATCAAGATTCACCTAGTCCACCTTACCTCGCTTCAAAAAAAGGCTCTGGACGCGCACCGCATGGACGATCGCATCAGCTTGCTTCTCGACATCTGTCATCTTTCGCTCACCTCAGAGCTGAAACGGTGATCTGTCCGACACAGGGTTCTGAGCAGTTGCGCCAGCAGTCTTATCGAACATTTTGTCTCCAGAAAAGGAACGGCTCTCAGTATGCGCAGGGGCGAGTAGCCTGCCTCGTGCAGGACCCGCCGGAACTGTTCCAGCACGCAAAGAGAACAAGAACAAGGAGCTTTCTTGCTGTGCCTGCAACATCCTGCGACTACGAAGGGCTGCTTCTGCTAAGGCCTACCTGACCTACCTGCGTAACGAGGAGTATGTCTCACAGACGCACGCACTGCACGCACAACCTCCTCTGTCTATTGGCAGCGCTGGGGGTTGCTGCATACATGGCCAGAAGCCAAATGAAGCCAAGAAGTGCCGACAGCAGAAAAATCAAAGAGCCACTCCACTCCACCGCCCGTCACCAACAAGACATCAGGGCAGCGGAAAGCGGCGCGACTTGAATCCTTCTACTATCAGAGAAAGCAATGTCTGATCACCAGGGCTTGCTTTGGAACTTAAACGGGGCGCAGCTGCCAGACTGTAGTCGACAGTATGACAAATGAGCCTTCCACAGTCGCCAGCAATCAAAGAAAACGCATTTTTCTCTCAATGCCTTGTGAAAGGAAAGCAATAGCACTACGTCCAAAGTCCAGTGGGAGCATATGGTCGTAAGACTGGCATTGCGATTCAAACAGCCAGACGATTTGTCTGCACCGCTTGCGGTGAGCACGCCCCGGAACGGGCAGTTAGCAGGTGTTCCTGCTTTGAACGCCTGCGACACGTGTCCACAGCATCGACACGTTTGCATCGCGCTCGTCTCATTACGGTCTCAAGGAACGAAAGACGTGCGAAAGCAACACAAGGTGCCATTTTTATGTCGATGTTGGATCAATGGGAGCTACAAACAACCCAAACCCGAATATATGCGTGCAGGGCCGTCGACCCACGAGGAATCGAGCATGTTGTGCAAGGACTCGGAGTTCTCCGAGATGGTGTGAACTTCTGTGCAAAGCCTTTATGAACGAAACCAGTCGCACATAAAAGTAAAGCGACCCCCAAAGGTGTGCAGGCAGTGCATTGGTCGGCAAGTAACGTGGCAATTTCCCAGAAAGGCCTCTAGCCCTACAGTTCACTGAAGCCCCTCTTTCTCGAAACCTCCAACAGACCAATGCCGTCCACAAAAACTCGATGGTTGTTCCCATGTGCCATCCTGGCACCCACAGCCTCCCGTTCTCTGCATTTCTCTGCTACCGTCTCGCTTTTGCCAGGCTCTGCTTGCTCCACGAGACGGCAACGCGGAAGCTTTAAACTGAGCTTAGCTTCGAATGGCAGAACCCAGAACTTGAGAGGCCGCCGAGGGTTTTCTCCGGGGGGTCGCAGAAACGAAACGAAGACAGAACTGGATGCCTCCGGAGCGGCTCTCCTTGGATGCAGACCGCACTTTCTCACGTCGAAACACAAAAGCTATCGCCGCAAGAGAGAGCCTGAATCTAGATGAGAAGAGGGGCAGGGCCCGCCTGCTTCTAGATCAACTTGGTAAAAGCTCCTCAGCTGCTCAGCCCGATTTTGTTGTATGTTCCCTGTGCTGCGCCTCGGGCGACCTGAGGCCTCGACTTCCTTTTGCCTCCTAACCTCCTCCAGGAACTCCTCGAAGCCCTGTGGCGGCCAGATCCTGCGAGACTGGCAGCACAGCACTGAGACGGGGACATGCGCGAGTTTCAGAATGCACACTAAGTAGTGAGATCCGGAATGATCGTTCAACCTTGGTGCAAGGATCCCTAGCTAGTTTCAAGAAACCCAAATAGGCTCGAAGAGAAGGGACCCGATATACTTTTCATGCAACAGAAACAATAGCCCTCGCATGGAATGCAAGAGTCAGCTGGCAGGTTTGCACAAGTACCGCGGACATCAAGATTGTGATGTCATGACATTTCTTTCCCCGCTGCTGACAGATGGCAATCCACTCTTCTGTTGCCAAAGCTACATGGCTACAGCGTGACATGATGCAAACCACCATTAGTCGGCATGCCGCAGCAGAGGATCCGTTACGCTGTCCACTGCTTTACTTTGCTGGACTTCATCACTACTTCTGCCACGTCACGTTCATGGACACATGCCCTGAGAGATCTGGTTTTGAGCAAAACACACACTACATTCGCTGCATCTGAACGGACCAACATGGTCCTGTGCCATGCAGACTGCCGCTGCCACATGTTGTCCTTCTCCAGAATCCGGCGCACCTATCTGCTTTTCATGTTCTGACATTGTGCCGACGGGAAACGAAATCCCACAAGAATTAAAGATGCAATCAACAGCGGGCAAAGAAAACTTCATCTACAGCACTAAAGCCGAGAACATGACACGTTCTCTGCCTCATCACTGGGAGGCTTGGTCTTGACGTAGTCGTAGGCTGTACGGCCTGGTGCGGAGTGCTTTTACCTCTTTCCATTCTACATCCCGTCCTTCCGGGCAGTCCCGGCCTGAGCTGTCCTTCTTGGCTGAATCAGCTCCGAAAAGCAACAGCAGACGCACCATCGAAGCATGATCCTGCTTTGCAGCCTCGTGCAACGGATAAGTACCTGCAACCGAATCCGACATCTGCAGCTAGCCCGCTTCTACCATGATGGAGACATGGAGATTCCGGAAGGTGAAAACATCCAACAAGGCTTCCGGGCACGGGAAAAGCCGAAAACTCCACTCTTCTTTGCATTCACATCGTGGGTCTTGAAGCCGTTTTTGCCAAGGAAGGATAACAACTTGATCCTGCACAGTCATGTCTCATTAAATCGCAGATTGGAGAGGATGCAGGTCGCGAACGGACTGTGCAACTGACAGAAGCTGCCATGACTTTCAGTCGAAAGTGGATGTTTCTGCAGCTGTCCCAACACTCGCATGAAGTGCATTGTAAAGCCCGCGTGCAAGGCCTTGCTTGCAGCATCTTCCTCTTGCGCCTTGCCATGGGCAAATAGCAGAGAGATCAACCGAGTGAAGCGCGGCAGCAAGAAGGACAGTCAAAAAAAGTGACAGTCTCTCACTGTATATCACAATCGTCGAAGCTGCACACAGTGGTGACATGACTGATCGCAAGATTGCAATTTCCCCTATAGCCTTATCTGTCAACATACCAAACTCTGCACTGCGCAATGTTGAAGGCAAGATCGCTCTCTCAAAAACAAAGACTGGGCATCGAGTGTCTACTGGCTAATGCCGGCAGGAAAGAGCTCCATCGAATCCTGAAAAAACATGTAACCACACTTTGTCCGAGCGTCGCTTCTAGAACAAAAGTCGTCAGCGGTACGCCCTTCTTCGAGTTGCTGCCGCTCAAGGAAGTACCCCGATCGGATGGTAGAGTTCTCGTGCACGATGTGGGCCGACTGCTGTCGTCCTGGCACAAAGCATGCGAAAGTACGCAACTCGCAATCCGCAAAATGACGAATTGGACCTGCTAGATGGCAGCCGATGCCAACGTTTCTGTTGCCGAAGGCCTTTAACATCCTCGAAGCACGTGCAGTCCAAGATAGTTAACAGCACAGCGGCGTGCCTCGTTGCCTATGAACTATAGCAGCCCTGCTGAACTTATGGGAGCTGCCCTAACTTGGCAACATCGAACGCTCCTGGAACTCCTTGAACTGGGCCCCTGTGCAAGATCTGAATCCCCGAGGCTTGTGCTTGACAACCCTTTTTGTGCAAGCTGCTTTGTTGAACAGAACTGTGCGTTAGAGCTCCACGCTTGGTGACTGGTCGTTTCCGATAACAGCGATAACTGCAGATATGCACCATGGCAAGCGAGTCATAGCATGGCGACTCCCATAGCTGGTTGACTGATTTCGTCTGTGGATGTGCATATATGCACATACACAAACATGCGACATACTCGTAGGGACTGATACCGAACCAACATGTAACTCAACCAGTGTAGTAACATGGAACACTGCTCTTATCTAGCTAACACCTTCCACCGTCGCATTCTCGCTTTGCAATTTATCCTGATGGATGCCGTCATATGATACTCAGTTGCGATGAACTATATGTTCGCAGCGTGCCGTCGACAACGGGGAAAGCGGACGGAAACCGTTCCAGGTTCCTGCAAGCCCCCCTTGTCCTTGAAGGACACATGCTTCAGGTTGTTCGTGGCAGTATCGTCGAGAATCTCGTCAGTCGGGTCGGCGCCGCGAAGGCTCTCGTCACGGAGGTCATCCTAGCGATTGACTCATCTTTAAGGCAAAAGCTGTGAGTGTCTCGATGCAACCCGGGGGGCTTCCTGCAGCAAAGTGCAGGGACAACTCAAGAACATGGCAGCATGAAACGGAAATGGGGCTGCCGGAAACTTGAGCCGAACGGCCGTGAAGTGGCCGAGAACACGTGACTCCACAAAGTCAAGGACTTGCCAAGGCGTGGGAGGCGTTTGGAGATGCGTTTTGGAGGCCCGGACGCGGCGGCCGCGGGGGCGGAGGAGGCGGCGAGTCGTCGTTCCAGGCCTCGCCCGAGCAAAAGCGGAGCTCGGAGCGGCGACGCGACGCTTCGACTCTTCTCGAAGCTCTCAGCAGGGCAGACCCCCACAGGGCTCTCTTTCCTGCTGCGTCGGACTGCAACCACCTGTCACTGCCTTTCCATGACGACCGATACCACTACCACCACTGCCGCAACGACGACTAACTACAATTACCACCACTACTCCTCCTGCAGCGGCTTGCTTGCTCGTGTTCGGCCTGCAGGCTCACGCAGCCAGCCAGCCTTCCAAGGCTGAAGACTTTCGAAAGGACGTGTCAGAACTGCTGATGCTTATGCCCCTGCCTGGGCCCTGCTGTGCCTGCTCCCCTCCCCAGGAGGAAGGCCAACGACTGCGCAAGAGAGCGAAGATGCCAATGGACGACGTCGCATCCCACTGCACGCGGAAGGTCCTGCCGCGGCACGGCATCATCCAAAACCTCAGCGGCTTCGGCACATGAACCAAAACCAGTCATCTTGCCGCAGATCTGCTCTCAGAGACCAGGGCCCAGAATGCCAGGCTTGTACTAAGCAGAGCTGAACCTGGCAGGCGAGCGAGTGTAAAACCGCTCCGCAGCGTCTGAGGCCCTGGCTGGTTAAGTGAAGCCATCGCCGGCTTCCACTCCGCCTCTGAAACAGCGCGCGCTTGTACTCCAAGGATCTCCCAAGCAAGAGATGGCCTCATGGCTGGTGCCAGGGGCCCCTCCCTTCCCGCTGAAGCCGAACATGCGGAGACTACATTTAAGGCAAATGCCTCTTCGTATCAGAACACTCAATCACTCTACTCTACAACTCAAGCTCTTGATTTTCGAACCTCTCAACTTGACCTTCTTGGGACGGGAGCGGGCAGGGACGAAACTCATCATCCTCGCCGAATATGTATTTGCAAGCTGACTTCGCAGCCACTCTTCCAAACACAAGGCAATCCAGCAAAGAATTTCCTGGCAGTGCCAGCCTTCCATGAACACCACCTGTACATTCCCCAGCAGCAAAGAGACCGGGGATTGCTGACCCATCTTGTTTCAGCACCTCTCCCTGGACAGAGATTCCAAGACCCCCAGCACAGTACAAGATCACCGGAGTGACTTGCGCAGCATGGAAGGTCTCATCTGCTACCCTGGAGCCAACCAAAACATTCCGAAAGTCACACTTCCCAAATCCCAGCTTCCCGGAAACCTCGTCGTAGGAGCGCCTCCCGTCGAAACTCCTCCAAGGCCCTTGAAACGGACCCGTCCCATTTGCTCCCTTCTCGGTTTCGCCCTCCCCGGCGTCCCTCAGTGTGCGGCGGAATGCTTCAGCATGGGCATCGTGCACCTCCACGAGCTTCTGCAGAGGTATCCTGGCTAAACCCAATGGAACCCAACTTGAAAAAAGCCTGCAATGTGTGATTTCTGGGGAAGCAGCTGATTGCCATGCCAATGAAACTATGGAACAGTGGGTGTGTTACTCTGTGACATTCTGTGACTGCAGACAACGAAGAGTACCCGGCATCCACCAAGATATCGTAGCTACCTCTCAACGGAGGTGTGTTCGGCATCCTATGGCAGGAGACCACTGGCAACCGCAAAAGCACGGTGTGGGCAGCAGCACGTGTAGAGCGAAGTGTGATACATGCGATTAGAATAGAATTTCAGCCTTTCGAAACATGATTGGCCGTCTTTCTGTGTATGGGCCAGGCAGCAGAGTTTGCTGTTTTTCTCAACCTGCGTGCATGTTCCTGGTGATTCCACCTCCCTGAGCAGACTCAACCGAGACTTGAAGATCTCCGTTATTTGATGTCCGTGCTCCCTCGTCAAACGTCAACCGGAACGGACTTAATGATCTTGAGCAAAGAGGGAAGCTTTTGCTGCATGCGAGCGCGGGTTTCAGAACTATCACAACTGAAAGTTATAGCGAATTTGGGGTTTGTTGTTTTGCGCGTTTCGAAGGGGTGGATAGCTTGTTTTGGCCCATTTCATCGCATTCCTCTTGCCCTGCGGGACGTGGGTTGGGTGGGGTGC